CGAAAGGGGCAGCCCCCGGGCCCGGGGCTTTGTACGTAGATGGGGACTGAGCTACTGCGCTTGGCTGCTGCGGCGTGTACGTGATCGGTATCGCTCTTGAAGCTTCACTGCGAGGGGTGGGGGTTTTTTAATTATCATCAGCCTGGTTTTTGTTTTGTGCCACATCTTACGCTCCTTTTTTGTTCAGCTTTTAGAGGCCGTTTGTGAAGATAAGCCCGGCAAGAGAGCAGAGCCCTCTGAAAGAGCTGACACCCTCGCCCTAGCCGATGTACGGAACAGCGCGTACTGCTGCTGAATCGGTTTTAGCTGTTCTCAGTCCATGAAAAAAAAGCTGAATCTCTCTAACTTAATATGTGATGGTCCATCTCTGTATGAAGTGATGTACTAAAATGTCGGCATACAAGAAAATTTCTTAAATTGGCTGGACGTTTACTGTTATGGTAACAGTCTCTTAAAAGCCAGCCTTCTGCCTGACATCGCTACTGTGGTAGTTCAGGTTGACAGAGGTCAGAGGTTGTTGTCTTCTAGTTTTATTACCATGTTTACTATAATTCTCCTGTTTCTTAGTTTTATATTTTGTTGGGATAAGGAAAGTCATACGTCTCCCGCAGTCTTTTATTCAGCTACAGAAAGGGAACAAACAGCTTCACCAGGCACACAGGAAAAAGAATACCTGAAAACCAGTCATTAACAGACAGTTTCAAGCAGACAACATCTAACATTGTTATAGGTTCAGAAACTCAAGTTCAAAGTAACTTGGCAGAATAGAAGAATGACCTTTCAAAGAGAACAAACTGTCCTAGAGCTCCCCAGTGGATTTTTGTGTATCCACTAGGAAGCGTCTGACATTGTGATCACCAAGAGAGGATGAAATGAAATAATGTTTGGCATGGAAATCCTTGTCTTCATAAACTTAAGGCTGAATTTTCTTTTTTTTGAATTATTCATCCTTTTATCTGTTCCTACTTTCTGAGTTTTAGAAAGACTCCTGTGAATGAAAACCTTCTGATTTTTTATAAACAGTATATGCCATATTTCTATCAGAATCTGTTACTGACTAAAACAAATCAGTTCAGTATAGACTGTGACTTTGGTTAGCCTATGGACAATCAGACTGTGTGTAACCTGGGATTCAGAAAATCTGTCTGCAAAAGCTTTTTTTATTTAAGTATGTCTCTTAACTTAATGCAAGTACTTCCTTAGGATCAAAATGAGCCAGGCATTTTTTTGCTGTTGCACCAAGTCAGACAAAAACATGCAGGACGTGACAGGTTTAACTTGTGTTTTTATAGGCTACTAAACTCAAAATGTTAGATGTAATAGCCGTGGTCCTGTCTAGTCCAGTGTCCGGTCTGCCTGCCACTGCTAAATCAATGTGAGAGGAGACCTAACCATGCTAAATATAAATAGGTAGCTACATAGTTGTGGGGGGTTTTGTTGTTTTGTTTTGTTTTGTTTTTTATTTTCCATGGGTTAACTGATGCCATTTCTGTTTTGTCAGGACCTTCATTTACCTGTTGCTGTACCTGAAGTTCCCTCTTCACCAAGACATGAATTTCCTGCAGACTGGAGTATTAAAACACGACTTTTATTTATGTCTTCCCAACCTTTTACCTGGGCAGAACATTTAAAAGCTCAAGAGGAAGCTCAAGGATTTGCTCAGCATTGTAGAGCTACGGAAACAAACTTGCCACAGAGCGTACAGGTAATAAACAGAATCACAGAACGGCAAGGGTTGGAAGGGACCTCGGGAGATCATCCAGTCCAACCCCCCTGCTAAAGCGGGTTCACCCAGAGCAGGTTGCACAGGACATCGTCCAGGTGGGCTCTGAGTATCTCCAGAGAAGGAGACTCCACAGCCCCCCTGGGCAGCCTGTTTCAGTGCTCTGTCACCCTCAAGGTAAAGAAGTTCTTCCTCATATTCAACTGAAACCTCTTATGCTTCAGTTTGTGCCCATTGCCCCTTGACCTGTCGCTGGGCACCACTGCAAAGAGTCTGGCTCTGTCCTCGTGACATCCACCCTTGAGATATTTGTACGTGTTGATTAGATTCCCTCTCAGTCTTCTCTTCTTCAGGCTGAACAAGCCCAACTCTCTCAGCCTTTCCTCGTAGGGGAGGTGCTCCAGTCCCTTTATCATCCTAGTTGCTCTCCTCTGGACTCCTTCTAGGAGTTCCTCGTCTTTCTTGAACTGGGGAGCCCAGAACTGGACACAGTGCTCCAGGTGGGGTCTCACCAGGGCAGAGTAGAGGGGGAGGAGAACCTCCCTCGACCTGCTGGCCACCTCAGCTCAAAGCTCCAGCTTTAGAAAGCAGAATGTCCCTTTGCACTTTTCCTTATGCACGCTGGCAGTGAAGGTTTGGTTGCAACTCGTTTTGATCGTATTTTCATTAAGAATAAGGCTCATTTAGAGTACCGATCCAGTTCCATCCGCGGCTTGTACCCACGGTGGCAAACAGTGTTGAGTGCTTGTTTCATTTCAGCTGTGGAGTGGTTGCCGGTTGCTGTCCATCTTTCTTCAGTCTGGCTTATTCACAAGCCTGGGAATTTTTTTCAGTATTATCATCATCTAGTGTAACATTTTTTTCATCCATCACTTGCAGTGCTGCCTTAAGTATTACTGTCCTCACTAAATACTTTTTGAAATCTAGGAACCAAAACTGTCCACGGAACTGCGCTGTGCCTTTCAGCAAAGCCTCGTTTACTGGCTTCACCCTTCACTGCCATGGCTGCAGCTGTTCCCTCGGATCGGAGCAGATAGAAAGATGGCTGGGAAGGCCAGTCCTTGGTCACAGGATGAAGCATTGCAGCAAGTGCTAATGAGCGACTGGTAAGCAGAACCAAACAATTGAGGTTTTTAGTACGATTACAACAATGGGGTTTTAATTAATGCACAAGTTCTTTCCATTTTTATGAAAAAGCTTTTTGATCCACACACATACACCCAGCTACAGAATGCTCATTATTTTGAGGACCAGGCTAGGGAAATAAGTTTAGGACTAAAGCTACCTTCTTGTCTTAAATGCCCCTCTCCAATCCCAGTTACTGATTTGGGTAGAATTCCGTGAATCCTGCCAGCAAGTTGCCTTTGATGCTTCACGTAAACTCCACACGCTAGAAAGCAG